ACTGTATTCAAGTAGTCCAACCTCTGTTATTGAAACTAATTCATAATTTTGTGCAGATGGATCAAATAGTTCTAAGCACACCACTGTGTCTATTGTCCCAGTGTCCACATTTACTTGGATTTTGGACAGTCTTTGCTGAGTTTGCATTCAAAAACTGCTACCAGCACAAGTAAAGCTATTCAAGAGCATTTATAACCCCCACATAAAAAAGACAATATCAGAACTAATCCCAAAGCCTTACAGTTTAACAAAGCACAACTGTAGTGTAAGCAGCTTTGATGAAAGCTCATAATTTGCGTTGGTAGAATGATACTTCCCAACACCCTGTCTCTGTTTGAAGCTGTAGTTGGTGTTTGCTTTTTCTTTCCTTCCTATTGTGATTGAAACAAGCAAAGTAAGAGCCCTAATAGGCACCAGGAGCAGTAACTGAATGGAATAATAACAGGCTGTTAACACAGCTGTTAATTAGCGTTTGCTGATCCATGCCTATCCACACAAAACAGGTTGGGGCCACGTATTAAAAAAACACTGAAAGATTAAGAGGCAAATGAGTTTCTTTTCATTATTCACATGGGGGTATGTCTCCGATTTGAGTGACTTTTCCACTTTTTAGTGACTTTCCACACAGTTCGGTGTGTGCGTACATGTTTTTATTGTACTTTGTGGGGTTTTTTTTGTTTGATGCCATCATTGTGAGCACATTTTGGCAGCAAAATCCTCAAAGTGTGTGTGTATTTGGGAAGTTAGGGGTAAAGTAAGACATGGGTACTGTATTGACTTTTGTTCTCTGTAACATTATTCACTCTGTATGAATGTAATATTTTTCACAAACACACTTTAATTGCTTAGCAGAAATATAACCAATGTTATTGGCTTGAAGACGTAGACATGCATCGAGACATCTAAAATTAAACCACAGCAATACCTGTTAATTAACCTAGGAAAGATGGCCAAATATTAACATTAGACAGAAAAAAACTGGTTACATGAGTTTCTAGTGTCTCAAGTCAACTGTCCTTAGACTTAAGCCACTGGATTTTGATTGTAACAACCTCGTTGGCACACATTAGTGTTCACATTGATCATCTATATAATGTACAAGAACTTGTTAAGGATAATATAACAGTTAAAGGTTATATTAAACATTTGTCTGGATTAAAACAAATCACTTTTGGTAGATATATTTAACCTTTGACATCTTGGTTTTCTGTCTCTCGTTAAACACAGAATGTGTATGTGAACATCAATCGGATCATGTCAGTAGGGAACCGGCTTCTGGAGTCAGGCCATTATGCCTCCCAGCAGATCCAACAGATCTCAGGCCAGCTGGAGCAGGAGTGGAAGGCCTTTGCTGCAGCACTGGATGAGCGCAGCACCCTGTTGGAGATGTCTGCCAGTTTCCACCAGAAAGCAGACCAGGTACTGACCCCCAGCACTAATGATGTCAGCCAACTTCAGCTGGAGACCTCACTTAACATGCACATGCAGGTGCTACGTGCTACAGCAAATGTATATCATTTGGTTAATTATATGTGTTAGCTGAAGTTGCTTTATCCCTAAGAGACAGAGAAGCCCATTTAATCTGATCAATACAGCTTTAATTGTTTTGCTTATCAGTACATTAAAAATGCATTAGGTATTTGCTGATACCTGTTGTTGGCTAGGTGAACCCTTCTTTGTACAACTTTTAATGCTCAAGACCTTCTTGTAAGCTGTTGATATTGCTTTGATGTCAAAACAGATGGACTGATCTGTGTAACAAACACAGTTTTGTATGTTTTCATGGTGCGTTTGTGGTACTCACTTCACTGAGTTGTAATAGAAAGTATGTTTTTCAGTTACACTGTAGAGTTAGGCTTAAGGCATGCTAGCGTGCACACACATACTTTTCCCTTCTCCCCGTTCATATACAGAATAATAAATTATGTTATAAGAATTAATATTATTTTACCACAACATTGATGGTCTCTCTGAACTGCTCTTTTCTCTTTCATGAACCCTGCGTCGTTCATACTTGTCACTCTTCTTCTCTTTTACCGTCAGCCTTCCTGTTTCCAGCCATAACTATTTGAATCCCAAACCACTGTATAAAACGTATTTAGCTGACAGACTATGAGCTTTTGTTTTGATACAGAGTCATTGTTTTTCTTAGTTTTTGTTGGCTTGTGGTCAGACCAACAAGCGTCAGTGTGTTATTATGTGTGTGAATGGCTTAACGAGAGGCAGCCCTGTATTTAGTCTGCTGAGACAGGAAAGTGCTGTCCATTTATAATAATAACAGAAATGATTGGATTGTTCTCGTCCATATTGAATAGTTCATTTAAGCATTCACTGTGTTGGATGGAAAAAGTGTGACATCAACAAATGCTAATAGTTGTCAGGAGACTGGCAAACCTGAAGTGCTGTCAAGTAGAAAGAGTGAAAGTGTGGGTTTAGAGCTACTTTTAATCACAAAGCAGCCTCTGCAGATGTGAACCATGACTCAAAAAAAGAGATCTTGGAAGACTTTCAATCAGGAATTGTTGTTTTGCATGCATGAAGCTTGAAAGGGTTACAAAGTAATCTCAGAGAGTTTCGATATTCAAAAGCCCACAGACAAAATGTCTCTAAAGTGAGACAACTAAGGTACTGTATCTCCAGTGGCACAACGCTAAAGCTAAAGGCTTAAAGGAGTCATTTGATGATTTGACTACCATATATAAATCATGATGCATGGTTGCATGGAGCATTGTGTCCATGGCGGGATACCACAGATGAAGTTGCTGCTCTCCAAATACAGTTAAAATATCACTGGGTGACTGAAGTTTGCTAAAGAGCACCTTGATACTCCACAGTGTTTTGTGGATTAGTGGTTGCCATCACCAAGGAGAAAATGAGTTCCCAAGTTTATCAAGATGTTGTCAGGATGACTGTCCACCTGCTAAAGCTCAGTAGAAATTGGATGATGCAGCAAGGCAGTGATCCTAAACATTGAAATCAATCTACTGAGAACAAAGAAAATCCACCTCTTTGTGTCCACACCTCAGTAGAACTGTTCACACCAGGCTTCCTTACTTTTTGGCTGAGTTGAAGCAGTTCCGTTAAGAATGGTCCTAAATCCCTCCTGAATGTTGTGCAGGTCTGTTCCACAGCTCCTGTACTAGAACTGCTTGTTGAGGTTATTGCTTTCAAAGGAGGTTTGCCAGTAATTACATCCAAGGCTTCACTTACTTTTTCCATCAGCACTGTGAATGTTAATAGTGTGTTGACTAAGGACACAAAAGATTGTAATTGTGTGTTTGTGTTATTAGCTTACACACATTGTGTTTGTCTACACGAGTAACAGAGATGAAGATCAGATCACAGTTTATAACAAACTAATGCAGAAGTTGATAAATCCACCAGATTCCTGCCACTGTGTATCAGTTTTGTTATGCAGTGCTTGTGCTGTGTGTTCCTTCCCCAGTACATGAGTAAAGTGGAGCCGTGGTGCAAGGCATGTGGTGAAGGAGAGCTGCCCTCTGAACTCCAGGATCTGGAAGACACAATCCACCATCACCAGGGACTGTATGAGCACATTAGTACCGCATACTCTGAGGTCAGTGTAATAAGTCCTGTTTAAAAACGTTGACAACTCTGAGAAATTTTGCAGACTTGAGACATTTCGTTATTCTTAAGTGAGATCCTTGGTGTGTTATTTCAATATGTCAAACTCATCATGTTAACATGAACAGGTAAGTCAGGATGGCAAGTCTCTGTTGGACAAGCTGCAGCGACCTTTGACCCCAGGAAGTGCTGATTCACTGATGGCATCAGCTAACTACTCCAAAGCTGTACACCATGTCCTGGACATCATCCACGAGGTGCTGCATCACCAGAGGCAGCTGGAAAATATCTGGCAGCATCGCAAAGTTCGCTTGCATCAGCGACTGCAGCTGTGTGTCTTTCGGCAGGATGTACAGCAAGTAAGAGATGCATACAGAGCAGCAGATTTGTTATTGTACTGACGTGCACACACACACACACACACACACACACAGTCGTGTTTCCCTGCTGTCCCATCTTGCCGCTATGTCTCAGTTAGCTACCCTGCAATTTCAACCTAACATAACATAAAGCAATAGCAATATACAGTGTAGTATCCTGCTACATATTTTTAATGGTATTAACCTACTGTAATCTAACTTTTCCACAGGACCTGTCATTATGTGACAGCTTTGATAAATCAAACTGAATTCAGTTTGATGCTTGTGAGCCTGTCAAACGTTTGTATTCCCCAGTATTTGATTTAAGAGAAAGGCTGGTATGTAAAAAGACATTTTTACTTGCACGTATACTATATCCATAGTTAAGACAAAAAAAAAAATTAAGCTGATGTAAACATTATGTATAACAATAACAACATGTACATTAAGTGTTAGCGTCTTTCTACTGTCTTTGTTGTTTCGCAGATGGATATACTGTATTTCAAGCATCCATACCAGATAGTAGTGTAACATCCAGGGTGTAATCATCTCCAGCTTCTTCAAAGCCTTTTTCTCTTCCCCCTAGGTTGTGAGAGTGAGAGTCTATTTTTCTGTGTGACTGTCTGGATAGCAGAGCTCTTAGATCACAACTACAGAGCTGGTGTATAGTGTCGTCTCTGGATTTCTACCCTTTAGGCATAAACTCTTCTCTGCCTCTCTGACCCAACCACCACCCCATTTCTTTTTGCATCTCTGCATTCCTGACTCTTTCCTTTTCCATCCCCTCTTTCATCACCCTTTCTCTTGGTAGTGGTTTCCATGGTGATGTAATTTACTGTCACATAAAGTGTTGAGGGTGTTGTGCACGTGTTCATATGGGCTTGTCCCATCAATAATATTCTTGTCAGAGACCTTGAAAACATCATTCATTACCCCACATAGACACATATGGAGTATGACCATCTGTTTAATAGATAATAAGGCAATTATGTATAAGGATTTATAGCTAATCCCATCCACAGTGGAAATGTTGACACTTTGTACTGCTCTGGATTTCCTATTAAGTAAAACCTAATTGTCCACACTGGTGTAATTTAAACAGGACAGACTGCAGATGGAGGGGAGGAAAGGCAGGGGGAGGGGGTGTGGAAAAGAGAAATGACATTTATGGACTACTGTAACTATAATGGGATCTTAAACCAGCCTTTCCAGTCAATTGCACCCCCTGCTGCTTGAAAATGTGGTCTGCATTCTTAATTTGTACTTACCATGTGTAGTTGTGCATGTTTAAATATTTACATATACTGTATCTGTGTGTGTTTCAAGGTGCTGGACTGGATAGAAAACCATGGTGAGGCCTTCCTCAGTAAACACACTGGTGTTGGAAAATCTTTGCACAGAGCTCGAGCTCTACAAAAGAGACATGAAGACTTTGAAGAGGTTGCACAGGTGAGTTTGTGTCCGAGCAGAAGGACAAATCTCATGTGCTTTTTGTGACATATGTTTCCCTTTAGGCATCAAGGAGACTTTTTTTATGAAGAATATGCATTTGTATCCATGTTGCACTCCATTATATGAACAATACATCTGATAAAAATATGTCTGACAGACATTCTTAATACAGTGATCCAAGTTTTATATTGCTGTATTGTCCTTCAACAACACAAAAGCATCAAGATTTCAATACAGCTTTTAGAGAAAAGAGCAGTTGCAATAGCTGTGACTCTCAAATGTATAGATACTGTAGTGTACTGTTAATGTTTCAGAACACCTACACCAATGCTGACAAGTTGCTAGAAGCCGCAGAGCAGCTGGCCCAGACAGGGGAATGTGACCCAGAGGAAATTTACCAAGCTGCCCACCAGCTAGAAGATCGCATCCAGGACTTTGTGAGACGTGTGGAACAGCGTAAAGTCCTGTTAGACATGTCTGTTGCCTTCCACACACACGTCAAAGAGGTCTGTGTTCTCGCCTCTCCTATCATCTTGTCTCATCTCCTCTTATCACAGCTTCTCTCCTCTCCAATTAGTCATCTAATTAGTTCCAGTTACCACATGAATTTGACTGCTGTGTGTCATCTGAAGCTAAAAGCTTATGCCTCTGATATTGTTGGGGGATATCGATTTGTTGATTTATTGATCAGACTCCTCCTCATGTCATATCTTTGTCCACCACCACTGGCTATCATTGTAGACCGTGTTTAGCAATTACAGCAGCAGAAAGCACCCAGAGACCGTATATCTTGACAAGAGCTGCATTATCATTTAACTACTGTATGTTATTCTGAATTTAGTTTATAAACATTTCATCTGCCTCAAGATCTCCATCTAAATCAGTAGACCATGATATTAATTCTATCAGTTATCCTTATTGCTTAATTCTAAAAGGACAGCAAGGCCATGATTAATTAAATGTATCATATTAAATGCATCACAAGTTGCAGGACTAATCACAGTCAATTTTTGCATTTGTCATTTTAATGTTGCTCCATTTGCGATCCATGTTCAGTTTGATTGCAATTTATGTCAAATGGTCCTCACACGCAAAACATATTTTCCTCATCATCACGCAATTAAGAGCAAAAGTTCAAGTGCTTTATACATCTAAAATGACCAAGAATTTAGTATATGGGGTGCTTCTGTGTTTAAATGTGCGTCATTCCTCAAAATGTCCCCAAACATGTTCTAGGCAGAGTTCTTCCTTTGCTTGGCTTTCCTTCTGTTGTGCACTTGTGCTTACACAGATTAAAGACAGACTGTCTAAGCCTCCTTCGCGGTGATAATGCAATCATGCTGCTAATTTTCCTTATTGGCATTTAGCTTATTTCTTAAAAGAATAAAGAACATGCTAACTACAGAGGACAGGATGGGAATCAAATCAACAGTGTGCCTGTAGGCTACATGTTAATCACTGCCCCACTCCCTTAAATCCTCTCACAGTGTTATGTACTATAAATGTGAAAGCACTGTGCCCTGCATGTGTTGATACTACATCTTGTTTACATCGACTCACAGAGACAGACAGAGCCATGGTGTTATTAATGAAGCTAGTCTTGAATGTCCATATGGACCAATCTCCTTCATCCCATCTGTCAGGCTCACCCTGGTGCAGGTCACCGTGTGTTGTGTGTGTAAGTGTGAGCCTTCATGTGTGTGCACCTGCTCAGACATGTTCTCCTGTGTGAATGTGACTACAAGTGATTTTTTTCCAGCCTGTCGGCCCATCATATTTTCTAGTTCTATAGTCTTTGGATGCATAAATCACGATGGAGGAGAAGGAATTCATGTGCATTGATTTTCATGGCATAGATAGATCTCAGATTTCTATCTCTTCCTTTTTTCTAGTATAGTCTATCCTAATCTAAAATAACCAGGCTTTAATATAAACTATATGGGTTTCAAATACTAGTCACTCAGTCAAGTGATTCCTCTTGAATATAGGTGCTAGGTCATATGTAACATACTCCATGAGGCTAAATGGATGATGGTAGCAATACCAACACTAGGCATGTTTCTGAGCAGGCACAAGCTGTAGGTGCCAGGGTCTCGCTCCTGCAGCCTTGACAGTGTGCCAGGTCTTTAGTGCACTCACCCAGATGGCTAATCTGTTACAAAGATGACCACTCACAAAACACCACCTTTTAGCAGAACTGGTTGGTTTTGATTTTGTTCTCCTGTCTCCTTTTTGTCCATTTGGCAGTTTGTCTATCAATTCTTAAATCTGTGTTTAGCTCTCGTTGCTCTGTGGATCTGCAGCCCCGTTTTGTTGCTTCCTTCTTTTTGTTCGTAGTTTATTAACTGGCTTGCCTGTTCTGTCAACCACTGTTAGCTGTGGACATGGTTGGAGGAGCTTCAGAAGGAGCTGCTGGATGATGTTTACGCAGAGTCGGTGGAAGCAGTGCAGGACCTGATCAAACGTTTTGGCCAGCAGCAGCAGACCACGCTGCAGGCTACTGTCAATGTCATCAAGGAGGGAGAGGATCTCATACAACAACTCAGGTAAGCCACAGTCATGCAATAAATTAACACTTAGAAACACTATTTTAAGTTTTCAGAGGCAAAAGATAGAGGGTCTTTTCTTTAACAGACTAAGTAAACTGAGCACAGTCGCAAGGAAATTATTGAAAAGGAAATAGTTTCTTCCTTGAGGATGCCTTCACAAGAACTGAGAGCCACATCTTTGACAACATGCACACTGTACCTCAAAATCCCCTGGTATTTGACTCTGTCCACAGAGACTCAGCCATCTCGAGCAACAAAACTCCCCACAACAGCTCCATGGCCCACATTGAGAGCGTCCTACAGCAGCTGGACGAGGCCCAGGGCCAGATGGAGGAGCTGTTCCAGGAAAGGAAAATCAAACTGGAGCTCTTCCTCCAGCTCCGCATCTTTGAGAGGGATGCAATCGACGTGAGTAGGCAGGAGATGGAGGTTTGGTGTGTGATGAACACTTTTATTTTTGCTTTCTTCTACAATGTTCAGGCAAATGGAAAGTGATAGGAAAACAGAAGTGCAGCAGATGGTGTTTGAAGGTTGCACAGAAAGCAAGAGAGCAAGAAAGGGAGGGAGTGGATGAAGTGTTTGATGGATAATAGATAAAGAGATACTTGCATGATATGTCAGGGGCAAAGCTTGACTAATAAACATTAAAAGTCAATTCAATATTGAGTTGGAGAACAGAGAACAAACAGGAAGAGTGGAGGTGAGTAGGAAAGAGCACTGATAAGTTGAAAACAATGAAATGGCAGATATGAATGTACCATAGTAACTGATTCATATCGGTTTGTTTTTCTTATTGGCTTGTTTTTGTTTTGTTTTGTTTCTTAAATGTAAACTGATCATTTACATGTGCCAAGGGAGTTACTGGTAAACCAAAATGACAGTGACTCTGAACTGATGGACCGTTACATCATAATAAGGCGAGTTAGTCCTGTACTGAGGGGTCCTGCTGGTTCTGAGGTTTGTTGAAGTCACAGTGATACTCTCACATGTGCTACATTTTAAAAAAAAGTATTTAGTTCCACTAAATGCATCTCATCCACTGACTCATTCCAGTTTTGTTTCCCCATCCCCAACCACCAATCGACTGCACTGTATTTGCTAATTCCTTAACTTCCTCCTGTGACAGAGAACGCTTTTCTCAGTTGGTGAGCCGATATGATGAATGCTCTTTTAAATATACTTCTCTGTGTTCCTCATAGTTTTTTTTTATTATGGCCCTCAAATCTAATTTGTTGAGCCACACTGTGTTGACAGATAAATTACATTATGCCATTTTACTGTAGTTGCAAAAGCCTAAAGCAGAGATGCAGACTGAAATTCATAAGAAATAAAAAGTGTAAATAAAAATATGCATTGTATAAAGTAACTGCAGCAGACATGAAGAGATTGTGGAGTTTGGGAATGTGTGTGAGGGGAACACATCATCCCCTCTGCTCTTAAGGATATCAAATATTTATCCATTGTATTTCACGATAAGGATCTGAATGCACAGAATGGATGTGTGCGTGTATGAGTTCTGCCACGCTGTGTGCTAATAGAAGTTCTGTCAGTGCTTTACCTTTTTGTGCCTGTATTGTTGGGTCCAAAAGAACAGATAATCACTCTTGTAGAACACGGAAATACACCCACACATACACACACATAGACACAGAATTAATATTACACAATACTCAAGGATGAAGATGGGTGGAGTATGCTCCCTGCCAACTCCCACACCCACAGTCAAATGCACTATGATACTCCTACCTGGCTTCACTTGGGGGTGTGTGTGTCTGAGGTGAGGACACGGGTTGAGGTGAGACGAGCATTTGTCTTCCTTCTCTGGCAGTAATCTCTCTGGATTACTACACAGAGAAGAAAAGAAAAACAGAGTCAAGCAAGAGTTTTCACAGCGTTGGTAGCTGAGGAAAATGGTTTTCTTGCATGCAGAGGGCATTTTACTCAACTGTCAGAGGAGAGGAGAACAGACTGAAGAGGAGTGTTTGGTAAGTTTCTACTGTGCTGCCAGATTAGTAAAATGTAAGATTTGTAGAAGGGTATTATTCTGCTATGAAATGGTTTGATAAGATTACTCTGTGTGCAAGCCAAGGACACGATGTCACTATAGAGGAGTTTTTATATCTAGGGGATTTGTGTGAATCCAAATTGTTGGTGTACATTGTCATAAGGTAAACATGCTTTACCATGGACCTAGAGGATATCACTATGGTCTGAGGCTTGTCAGACTCCAGGTAGGAGGACCTGGCCTGTGCTCCTCACTGTTTGTTTTCCTGCTGTGTTAGCTGTATATGTTAAATGAAGCTGTCTTTGACCTTATAGAGAGGATGTTCTACCTTTCATTACATACCTAGCTCAAAGAGGACAGGTACAGCCTGAGCGGTAACACACTTTTTCCCAAACAAATCAGAGAAAAATAGAGATCCTGAGCTATGGTACGTAATATAGCCTGACTAAACATATTCATTTTATAAAAGATGCTTCAAAGCCAAATGACAACTTGGTCATCTTGTACAGATATTCAGTCAGCTTTGCTTTTCTATCTAGACCTGAAAACATCAACAGTGGTGCAGTCTATCTGAATAAATACATTCAAGTCCCAGTTTAAAAGGGGGAAAGGGAGAAATTATACAATTACTAGTAGCTGCATGGGCTCACATCATTGTTCCTAGATAATCATCTTTCCCATACCATTATTTAAGTAGAACAGCATAGTCATGTCATACAATATGCTGCTCTTGACAGTTTTTTACTCAAAATACTGTTCTCTCTCACTAATGAATGCTGATTAAATCAGTGTTATGAAACTTGATTCTTTCTTGATGATGCTTTTATTTAAAGTGAACACATCCTGCAGCTGGTGTTAAATAGTAAATGCCTTCTAGGGTGGGGGGGTTCTCGACAGCACACAGCAGTGCCAGCAAGTTATTACGGCACACAGAGCTAATCAGGAAATGGGGATTATTAAATGTACTTAATTATAATAATATTTACAAAAGATCAATTGTAACTAAAACCTGTTTCTAGTCACAGTTTGTGTCAAATGATTTTCTCAGTTGCAGTAAATGAAGGCCTCAATCACTGTTTGACAATTTACGGTAACTCCATATGCCGCAGGGCGAGAATTGGGTAAGTTCTAAAACAGAGTGTAGACTAGCGCTTCTGAGTTCATTTAATAAAAAAAACATGAAAATGACAGACAGTAGTGGGTGGTGCCAGGATCAAGATGCCCCTGGTATCATGATTCAGTCTGTGTGGGCAGTCAGAGGCAAGCGCTGACATCTCCGTACATCTGCTTTACCAGCCGTGCATCGCCAGTGTAGTATGTCATCCGTTATCATGGCAGTCACTTTATGGTGTTTGCTTATAACTATTAAACTGTCTGATTTGGCATTCAAACCTTCTCTCAGTCATAAAATACTATGCATAATAAAATGCCTGTGGTTTATTTTGCTGTGCTTTATTCCCCCTTTAATGTTTGTGCTAGTAAAAATAATTTTTGTAAGGCATCTTCTTGTCTCAGTAATGTAATATATGCACAATGAAACCCTCAGTTCTATCCAGGACCTTTATACAAATTTACGTGTGTCTTTCTCTCCCTTCATTTTCCTTTTCACTTTCAAATGAAGTCCAAAAAATTGTTTTTGCAATCATGTTCATTGTTTCTCAGTCATTTTCATGCATGAGTAAAAACTTATTTATTCTCCCTCTTTATGTCTAAGTTGGATATCTGTCTTCTTTCTGTCTTTTTCTGTCTCTGTCTCTGTCCTTTTTCCCCCTCTCAGATCATCTCAGACCTGGAGTCATGGAATGAGGAACTGTTGCAGCAGATGAGTGATTTCGACACAGAGGACCTGACACTGGCCGAGCAGAGGCTACAGCACCATGCAGACAAGGCGCTTACAATGAACAACCTCACCTTTGACGTCATTCACCAGGGACAAGAGTTGCTGCAGTATGTCACAGAGGTCCAGGCGTCAGGTGAGTGTGGGAATAGAAATGCTTCCTGAAGCATTTATTCAAACAGAGTAAATGCACCCACCCATTTGCATAAGATACAGCACTGCAGAGATATGTCCTGTTTGGAGTATGTAAGGATGAAACATGGGGAAAGGAACTGAGCTGAAATAAGATTGTTGGCTAAATGGTCTATGTGAGAAATTTTAAGAGGGAGGAAGAAGTGGATACTGGACAGACTGGGAGTCAATGAATCAGTAAATAATTGGAAGAGGGAATGAAGAAGCTGGAGGGGGGCGGCAGGCAGATTCTGCCACCTAATCCTTAAGAGTTGCATTCACAGTGTGGTTAAACTGCTGTTAAGCAACACACACAAGGTAATAAATGTCTTAGATGACTAGGACCACACCTCCTATGTTGTTATGATTTTTTTAAATTCAGAGAATGTCACAGTACAAATGTAGCTGATGTCATGCAAAAATCTGGCTCTGCAACCAGTCAGCTACATGGCTGCCTTAATGATGCTGTCTATGCAAAAGCTACCTCTCTATCCTGCCTCAGTACAACTGTTTACCACAATCCGCCTTGCAGCTAGCATCACCACTGGCACACAATGCTTCTGTGGACTAAAATGTGAATACAGATTATGCTAATGCTAAATTTGTCATAAATGGTCTGTGCTGAAAATAGATGTCAGATATTCTACAATATCAGTGTTGCAATATCTGCATGTCTTTGTTATTAAAAATGTATACTGTCCATACAATCCATGAATAGTTTTGAAAATGTGAAATCTGTAACATCCAGATGTTACTGTTCTATAGATGGAGGTAACAAAGAGTGCACTCATGAACTGAATATGTTATATACCTAGCATGTAGACTATGCAGATTCACTTTGTGGCGATGTCTGCAGAATTGCTAAATACCATTTTATTGAATACCCATTTACCCTTATAAGTAACAATAAGTGGTTATTAAGTGAATGATTACTAGAAAAAAACAACATGAAGAGATGTTATAAAAACACATTGCTATTGGCAATGCAATGAAGCATCCATTGTGTGCAGGTGTGGAGCTGTTATGCGACAGAGATGTGGACATGGCCACAAGGGTCCAGGACCTGCTGGAGTTTCTCCATGAGAAGCAGCAGGAGTTGGACCTGGCAGCAGAGCAGCACAGGAGACATCTGGAGCAGTGTGTCCAATTAAGACATCTACAAGCTGAAGTCAAACAGGTAGAAGAAGAAAAGAATGAGACAGGCTAGACAGTGATTTGGCAATAAAGGTGTAGGTGGGATTTTGAAAGCAAAGAAAGCTACAAAAACGCTACAGTAGGCTTTTTACTTATGAAAGATTAATCAATGTGTTCTCAGTATTAGGTATATGTACGTATATAGATTTAAGATGTTGGAAGTGGAACTAGAGCCCATATGTGTTCACACAAGAATGCTCAGCTGTGTAGCATTTCAGAAGTAAATACATGGGGCGTCCCTTATGGCCTTTATCTACTAAGACCAAGGTCAAGCTGACATGTGGAAGGCCATTCCGAAAGTTTATTACCACACTGTACTATGATGTTACAGCAGAGTGGGTTGAAGCGCTAAAAATGCCAAACTGTGTTCTGTCTGTACATCTTCACAGTTAAATGACTCATCCTGTGTCAACAATCTCTCTTTCACCTCTTTCTTTTTCTCTCTTAGTATTTTTAACTGTCTGTGTCTTTGACTTTGGGGAATAACAGAGTGATATAGTGTGGTTGGAAGTTCAGCCAAGGTATAAAGAGAGAGAGTGAGGTACTGCAAATGGAAATGCAAATGGACCAGAGGGAATCAGACTTGATAGAGACAATGAGACATCCCATACCTGGAAGGACTCTTTCTTTGCTTATTGTTGTGTCAACTAGCAGTTCCCTTCCAATAATCAGTCAGTAGTTGGATGCAATCCAAATAAGAAAATTGTGTAGACTTTGTAGTGCAGCCTAGTGACATTTCAGAGCAGCTCACAATGCGTAATTTTTATAACAAGGCCTAACATCATAGTGATGCAGCCCAATAACAACTGGCCTTATGATTCAGCTTGCTCTAGGATTAATGAAAACTGAACAAATGTAATGGAAGATATGGAAAATTGAGACTAAAATAACTAAAATTTCAGTCTACTGCAGTAAAACATTTTAGAAGATGCACTGGGATTGTAGTGACCTGACAGTATGATGATCGTGTGATGCCAGTATCATGCTCTGGTTTTATTTTCTACTTGTCTACCCACAGAGATGCAGTACTATACTGTATATGCACCAATGGGCTGTTCCAAAAACATGTACGTGCCTGTGCAGCTAGTAGTGATTTATAAATCAGAATGTTCTTAACACAATGCAAACAGATAGACATTAAAGTGTATATATAGATAAGACATTAGAATGCAAATAAGATAATAAATGTTGCTAAAAAGCAACAATTACATGACAGTACAAGTAGCAACATGCATGAGTAGATATCTAGTACTTTCAATACAGCTGTGGCAGACAGTGGGTTCTCATTATACCCCTCTACTTCAGCCTTCCCAAGACAAACGTCTGAGTAATTTACACCAGAGGTGGGCGTACTTTCTTCTAGGAGATTCGAAATGTCAGTGTCTAAACAATCAGCTAAACAGTCCCAGAAAGCTTTAGGATAGCTGTGGCAAGCTGTGGATTCTCACATGCATCTAAAATCCCGTTGCCATCCATTGCATTACAGGAAAGCTTAGCTCTAACACCCCTTGCACTGAATCCTGGAGAAATGGGTGCAACCATGTTAGGTTAAACTTGGACACAACCATAATCTGGTAATTGTAGACTGTACATTTCTTCTACTGAATTATTTATAAATATGTCAGCCCATGTCCAGAGACGATTGTGCTACAGTTACTATTGTTAGTACCTTTATTTTTGCTTTTGCTTCAAACATCAACATCCCAACCCCAGGACTGGGTATCTGTTAGGACAGTTTCCCTGTCTGGCATTATGAAATGGTGCATCTTAAGAACAGGGATTAGGGCTAGAACATTAGTTCTAACAAACATAAAGGCACTGTAAGTACAGTAAAGTGGTGTGATGAAATACTGGAATCCTATGTAAATCTAATGGTTTGCCATAAGATGCCAATGAATCATATGCTCATTACTGCTGGTGTTGCTGCTGTTTGTTCACACATTAGCGTTACATTATCTGCACATAATCAACACATATAACATACTGCACCTCTGGTATTCAGCCGCTAACACTGTCTCACCTCGGGATATTGCAAGTGCAATGGGAACATCAGCCCTGTTGAAGTTGCTGAAAAACAGCTGTCAGAGATGTGTTGCATCATCACTTTTATATCCAAGCTTCGGTTGCATTTCTGCCTGTCACCCACACACTAGGTGTGCTTGCTGAGTCAGACAGTGGCTTTGAGAGACTACTCTTTGGCTAGAGCATGGCCAAAAGAACTCTGTGTGTGTGGCAGAGGGTGTGCCAGTTAAAGAGATTAGGTACAAAGGGTATAAAGTGGAGAAGTAGGGAATTGTGTGGAAAGTGAGATTTGAAGAGACTGGAGGGATTGAAAGGGAAACAGAGTGAGGATGTAGGGGAATGAGGAGGCATAAGGGCTGAAGACATTATGTCACTAGAGAGATAAAGATGAAGAGTGGGGGAATGTTGAGAGAAAATGTTAATGAACTGATACAGGCAGAGAGGGAGATAAATAAGAATGGGGGACATCAGTGGTTCACTTTTATTCTGATTACATATCTTTCAACATGTTTTTGTAGCATCAACAGTACAACTAATTGCAGACTGTCAAAAAATAAGAATAATAATGAAACTTTTTGTATGCCTGTGTGTGTTTGTTGTAGGTGCTGGGTTGGATCCGTAATGGGGAGTCCATGTTGAACGCAGGTCTGATCACAGCCAGTTCACTACAAGAAGCTGAACAGTTACAGAAAGAACATGAGCAATTCCAACATGCAATAGAGGTAACATTTTTTTTAAAATATGTATGTATGTGTCATTTTCCCCTTCATTCTTTCTTTTCAGTCTAGTCACAAAGATCATAGAAGCATCATGTTGAGGCCTTTCTTTCTTTCCCTTACACACACACACACATACACACACACACATATATATATATATATATAAATATCATACATTTTTCTCTTCTTCACTTCCATTATGTTTGTCTTGATTCACCGCCTTCTCCTCAGTTCTTCAGCTCTCCTTCCCTCTTTTACTGCTTCTGCATTCGGTATTGTCCTTTGTTGTTCAGCCTGTTGCCTTTCGGAAACTGCACTCAGCTTCATGGCTGTCAGCACTCCCTTCCCTTCTCATCATGTGTCATACATGAAATGGAGTTATGAATAGCTGGTATCTCTGCCGCTCTCTTTCTCCTCTTTGCTTACCTTTCTTCTTAGTTTTTTTTTCTTTCTTTCATCACCACTGATCATGCAGGGGTTTTGTCTTTCGAACTTTGTTGAGCCTGGCTAATGTTAATGTTGACTTGCACTTGACCTACTTCTAGCAGGTACACATATAGATGCATACTCAGGAGAAAGCAGGTTCATGATTACTGCTTATGTTAGACTGTTAGTCTGTAGTCCCTGAAACCCACAATGTTGAGAAAAGATCAAGGGATATGGGGACGTCCTCGCTGATCGTATCCTGCAGGTGCTGCAGACATGAAAAATGATGCCACATTAACATTATCAAAGGAAATCCCTCACACTTCTTATATCTCCTTATGTTGTCGTTCCCTCAGGTCCAGCAAGTAGCAGAAGCGTTTATCAGTCATTCTCCTAACTAATCACTATGACACAAAAATCACCAGATACTGCCCTCCTCCCCCTCATCTCCTTTTCCTTAGAATGTTCACTCAGGACAATCCTTATGACACAGCTATAATCAGACCACTTTTATTTGCTTAGAGTTTCCTCTGTGGCTCCGTGGTACTCCACAAAGTGCCCTGCCATCCCACAGGAAGCCGGGGTCATGTTTTCAAAGCATTTTGTGATACAGAGATTCATATAACTCTTGAGTTTCACAGTGTTCTATCTCACCACTATCCCCTGTTTAGAAAACCCATCAGAGTGCACTGCAGGTACAGCAGAAGGCTGAGGCCTTACTCCAGGCCAACCACTACGACATGGATATGATAAGGGACTGTGCTGAAAAGGTATGTTACACATCACACATCATCAATAAAAGGAAACAAGAATACCAACATAGATAGCATGGCAGAGTTTTTAAGAGCTGATTTGTTTTGTTTAACTTGAAGGTGGCAGAGCACTGGCAGCAGCTGATGCTGAAAATGGAGGACAGACTCAAGCTGGTTAATGCTTCTGTAGCCTTCTACAAGACCTCTGAACAGGTACTCATGTATGTGTGGGAGACTGAGTGTGACTGATTCAAATTGGTGTTAAGGTTCATTAGATACCTTGAACTGAACTTGGTTTTATGACAGAGTGGATGACTCTATGGGAATTAACCTCCACCGTTTGAACAGCAGTAGACCTCACACAGGTTGTACGAAGTGTTTCATCTCACAGTACTTTAATGCACTGCATCATCAATGCCTCAGGTGTGCAGTGTGTTGGAAAGCCTGGAGCAGGAGTATAAAAGAGAAGAAGACTGGTGTGGTGGTGCTGATAAACTGGGCCCTAATAGTGAGTCTGACCATGTGACTCCCATGATCAGCAAACATCTGGAACAGAAAGAGGCCTTCCTCAAGGTGAGGAAGATTCAGTTATTTCAAATAAAAAAACAATGTAAATTCACTTATTTTTGTGATTTCTATTTTCAATATGTGATCTGTCACAGGGACATTACTGCTGACGTCGTAAGTGATTTTTTTTCTCATTCTGCACACTTACAGGCCTGTACGTTAGCCAGGCGTAATGCTGATGTCTTCTTGAAGTACCTGCACCGAAACAGTGTCAATATGCCCGGCATGTTGTCTCATGTCAAAGCACCAGAGACTCAGGTTAAGAGTAAGTAGACAACTCAGTTATCGTCTTTATCATATCTGCATCTTATGTTACAAAAATAGTCATCAAGCTGTTATTATCTTATTTATTTTTGTATTTACTCACAGAATTATAAAGTCAGGCATTGACTATGTGCCTGTGTAATGCTGATGTACAGTGATTAACATTTTGAAAACATTTATTTTGTGTGCTTGCGTTGTTTAATCAGATATCTTGAATGAGCTGCTGCAGAGAGAGAACAGAGTGCTCCACTTCTGGACCATGAGGAAACGGAGGCTGGACCAGTGCCAGCAATATGTAGTGTTTGAACGCAGCGCCAAACAGGTATGTGCTTGTGTACACCTGTCTGTATGTTTCTGTGTGCACCGGCAATAAACACAATTTGGCTGAGGAGTCAGTAGCCGTGTCATTTGATTCACTACATACCAGAGCTTCTTCTTTGTTTGATGATTGGCTGTTTGAGCTGGAACTAAATCGGCAAGTTGACCAGTTATCACCCAGCTGGAACTTTCATTTTGTTCATACATAAAACATGTGGTCAATAGTTTCTTAGTAATGATAACTTTCAAAATATACTTATTTAAACTGGCAGGCATTTGCAGCAATGACAGTCTTAAAGAAGGCTATCATTATGTGGCATGGTAAATTTAAACACTGCATTTATTACAGAGCATTACCAAACATATGTTTCCAAATACTCATTTTACTCCCTTAGGCAGTCTTGAGCATTTCAGCCTCTGGCATTTCTGTTGTAAAGCTTTTCTATGTTTCAAAGGAATGAAAGGTCTGTCCTGCAGTAGGATGTGAAGTTAAGTCACAAGAACTTTTTTAACTCTTTTTTATTCACTTTTTCTCAATTCACACAAGGTTTAGATCAGTCACTGTTTAAAGATATGAGGACCTCTAGGATGACCAGAGCTATTGTCCAGAGACGCTGTCTTTGCAAGCAGCGTCCTCACAAGTTAGAATTCGTGACTCTTAACAATGGCTGTGTAAATACAAGACACAGGGCTCCCTCTTGTGGTGTCTAGATAGCACAGGGCAGGACAGCAATGTGCTGCACTGAATAAAAGCAGATGACATCATAGATGCTTCTAGGTCGTGGCTGTTCCAGGGCTATCCATGTTTTGTCACCGGGGCACAAAAGCTTTCTGGTCTCAGACTGGACTGCTGCTGGTCAGGGACATATCACCTGCATGTCATAAAGTATAAAAACATTAAAAATTAAATACTAGAAATGTATAATTGAGTGACACTTTTAAGAGGTGGTAACACATTCTATCTGCATATGTGTCACAAAGCTGTAATATCTTTAACATAGCTGTGTCTAAACTAAAAGGAACATGAACTTTCTTAATCTTGAATTTCAGTGAATATGATAGAGGAACATTATAATGAGATTCTTAGAGGTATTGGAAAATGTCAGATATCAAATCCAGATTAAAATTCAAATTTAAAGTAGTGTCCCACTGGATTAAAGCCCTCTTGTGATTTGTGATTTGGGGCTACTTAAACAACCTGACTTCACCAGAGTGGATGAAGTGTCTGATGGCGTGTTTGGTTATACAAATTACCCTTTAGCTTCAGTTATGTTGTAGTTATAGTTGCTTCAAGTGTACTAGCTTGTAAGAGGTCGAATGGATGAGAGAGACTCTCAAACTGTGTAACGAAAACCCCTGCAGTGTCATTGTAGTTGCTCTGATTGGTTGTTTCCTCAGGCCCTGGAGTGGATCCATGACACTGGGGAGTTTTACCTGTCCACACACACATCCACCGGCTCCAGCATTCACCACACACAGGAGCTGCTGAAGGAGCATGAAGACTTCCAGATCACAGCAAAGGTGTGTGTTTGTGTTTCGAGATCAAGATCAAAGATTTTTATTGTCAATTCACTTTATGTGCAGGACATACAGAAAATCGAAATACCGTTTGTCTCTCACCTAATATTGAATGCCATGCCATTTTGTGGATCTCTGACTGACAAATAGTGTGTGTGTATTTTTTCACATGTTGACCTGCTCATTATGTGTAAGTTGCACAGTCCCATGCTCTGCTGTGTGGCCCATTCTCTAGAGAGTGTATTGTCCCAATTCCTCTTCACTGTGTCGCTGTTGTTGTGTCAGAGACCATGTTATTGTGTCCATCAAGCAACATGCTGATCCCTAACTCTCTCTCCCTCTGTCTCTCTCTCTCTCTTACCTATGTTTCCTCTACTGGTCCTGCCTCTCTGTGGCCATCCCTATCCTCTCTGTCCCCTCCCTAATTGTCCCTCTGTTGACAGCAAACCAAAGAGCGGGTAAAACTGTTGATACAGCTGGCAGATGGGTTTTGTGAAAAGGGTCACGCCCATGCCCTGGAGATAAAGAAATGGGTGTCCTCAGTGGACAAACGCTACAGGGACTTCTCTCTCCGCATGGACAAATACCGAACGTGCCTGGAAACGGCGCTTGGCATTTCTTCCGACTCCAACAAGGCTGTGAGTACTCAGTTTAAAGCTTGAAGAGTATTAATCCCTGTGTGTTTTGACAAAGTCTATTTACTGTATATGCTTCATCTTAAAACCTTGGGTTGAGGCTGTAGGATGATACAGCTGCGGATACAGTATATAACCTTGGTCACAGTGTGAAATTTTAAAAAACTCCTGTTTTATGTGATGAATATCAATGTTCAACCTACCTTTGGCTTTAATGTTGTTGTTGTCTCAAGTGTTGAAGCTTGCACCAGGTGCTCAGATGTATACTGGAGACTTTCTATCGCTGCATGCTCCTATTTAAACTCCATCTGCCAGCAGTTCATTTTTATGAACTGGTGCTAACAGATAGAAAACTCTGTACATCACACATTGGAGTGTTGCTTTCTGAATATCACATCTGTTATGTGCCACATAATAGTCACTGTCTCCTGTTTTTGCAGAGTAAAGAGCTGCAACTAGACATCATCCCAGCTAGTGCTCCGGGGTCAGAGGTCAAGTTGAGGGATGCTGCC